CTTCGACTCGGCTTCATCCCGTGAAAAGGGGAGACGGGAATGGAGGCCAGGAAAGGAGTTCAAAAGAAACACGGCACCATTTTGCAGGGGATTCTGGTCCTCCTGGTCCTCAGGAAAGTGCCCAGGGGTGTCTCTGCCGGCTGCGTCCAATTTCTAGTGAAGCTGGGACGGGACTGAAGTGGGCCCAGTTCCGGGTGACTTTGTCGTCCACGGCGTTTTCTTGGCAACGGCCCAGAGCTTCATTTCTGACCCAGAGCGTGGTGAAGCCCTCGGGCGCCTCTCCTTCGCCGGCGTGCCCATCCGGCCTCTTCCTCCTGCCCGGGCTGAGCCATGCCCTCCCCGGGGGCCCCGGGCCAAGGAGGAGGACCCATCCTTCCCCGGGGGCTCTCTCCCAGCTGCTGTGCTGCTGCTGCTGCTGCTGCAGGGCCTCGGGCATTTCCCCCGCCTTCTCAGGCCGTGCCCCATCTGGGTCCCCCCCCCCCCGGCCTTCCCATCTCCCCTGCCCAGCACCGATTCCGCCCTGGGGAGAAGCGTCCCTCCCTCCCACGGGGGCTGCTGAAATCCTCCGGCCTCCCCCAGCCTGGGCGTTTTTGCATTGCCACCCGGCCTCTTCTCTCCACTGCCTCGGCTTCCCTGCTGCATCCCCAATTCCTGGCCTTGATGGTCTAACATGAGACCATCAACCGGTGGTGGCCTGCCAGAAGAGACGGGGAGGTTCTGGAGACGTGGGTCCGGGTTCTGGCTCTGCACTCCAAGAGGCCAGGCTCCCTGGCGGGGCCTCCGAGCCACAAGCCAGCCACCTCCATGGCCCCCATTCGACAGCACCCTCTGCGGGGCTAAACCCGATGGTTTGGGTGGGGTTTATTCCCTGGTGAGGGCAGCTGAAATCGGGGCAGGGCTGGGATCTTGAGGAGAAACTGCTGCCCAAACCAACTCCCTCCGAGGCCCCTTCAACAGCCCCTGTGGTACAAGTAAGCCTCACCCTTGGAAACCTCTCTGGCGCTGCCCACAATCCACTCATTTCCATTCAAAGGAATTGGATTTCTGCTGGGCCTTCATTATTTCTGAATGGAAAGTGTGGGGTCTTTCATATTATGGAATGCTACTAGTCTCTTCCCCTTCTCACCCCCCCTTAACATTTGGGGGGGGGGGGGGGGAGACTCCTAAGCCCTACAGCCAGCCAAGTCGAAAACAGTCGAGGGCTCCTTAGAGGAGCTGCCCAGAGCACCGAGGCCTCCTTAAGATGGCCTCATCCAGCAAAAGCTGCGGCCCTTCAGCAGGAGGGGAAAAGCCCTTTGGTGGCAGCTGGACTCTAAGGATTAGAAGGGGGGGGGGGGGCCCTCTTGGTTTTTTGGGGGGGGGCCCCCCCCCCCCATGGCTTCATGAACTCCAGTTGGCCCAATACGCTAAGCCAGGACTCGGGGGACTATGGCTGTGCTGGATGTCTGGTCGGTTGGGGGCCAGGCCAGGCCAAGACTCCCATGAAGGTTCTGGGTCAAGCAGAACTCTGGAGCCCGACTTGAGCCCTTCAAGGGCAAACCTGGCTGCCTTCTTTCTCTTGCCAACTTTACACGCTTAACAGTTTTGAACCAGGGTTCTTTCTTTTCTGTCATTCATGGACTGTGGCCCTTTGGGGGCAAAAAACCCGTTTCCCTTCAGGAGGGGGCTGGTTTTGGAAGGGGGTGAAGGGCTGCAGCCCCCTGGGGATCAAGACCTCCAGCCGCCACCGCCTGCCCTCTCGGGGGCCCGGGGGAGGGGGGGGGGGGGGCTTCCTTGGCAGAGGCGCAGCAGCCCTGCCACCCGTTCGCGGCCATCCGGATTGGCCTCCCCAGCCTTGGCAGAGAGCAGCCCGGCCGGGGCGGCGGGTGTGCCCGCCGGACTTCGCTCGTCGTGGAGGGTCCGCGGCGGGGCCGCACTTGGGCCCCTGGCTGCGTCCCCCGGCGACTCCGCCCCCTCCCCTCCGTGCCAGGCGTGGGGAGGGCCTCTCCGCCTGTCCGCCCGCCGGCGGGCTGGCTGGCTGGGCTGCTGCACGACTGAGCTCCGCCCGGCGCCGGACTGCAGCGCCGCCGCTGGTCCCGGGCGAGGCAGCGGCCGAGCGAGCGCGCTCCGCAGGGCAGACTCTCCCCTCCGGGTCCCGGGCGGCGGCGGCGGCGGCGGCGGCGGCGACGACTGGCTCTCGCTTCGGGGCGGCGCTGGGTTGCGCGGCCGCCCTCCCGCCCTGCGGGCCAACCGGCCGGTGCCCTCGGCCTGCGCGCTCCGCCAACTTGCCCGGGGGAGGCGGAGGAGGGGGCGGCGGCGGGGGCTGCCTCTCCTGCGAAGGAGCCCAGCCAGGCGCCCCGCGCGACGAGGGAAGGGCCGGCGGCGGCGCGCCTCTGCCTGCTGCCCGGACGGCCTCGGAGATGCGGGGCGGCCGCCCCCCGGGGCATTATGGCGAAGGCCGGCGCTGCGGTGAGTACGGCGGCGCGGCCGGGAGCTTCTGGCCCCAGGCGCGCTCGGCGGGCGGCTGGCAGGGAGGGCCGGGGTCGGCGGCGCGGCTCCCGTTTCCCCGCCCCGCTCCGAGCCCGACTGGAGTGGCCGCTCCGCAGGAGCCAGGCGGGCTGCTGGTCGGGCCGATGCGGGGCTCCCGGGCGAGGGCGGAGATTTGGGGAGGGTCCCGCGAGCTGCCCGCGCCCGGCCCCGCGCAGGGTGAGCCTTCCCGGGCGAGCAGCGGCGGAGCGTGGCGGGGGCTGGCTGGTCGGCGGACTGGCTGCGCCTCCGCAGAGCCCCCGCCCGGCTGTGCGCCCTCCGCGGTGAGGACGTGCCCGGAGCCGGTGCGGGCGAGGGGCGCGCGCGGGGCTGGCCGGGTCGGCGTCCCTCGGCGGGCTGGGAGGCCTGGGCCGGCCGAGGCAGCGGGCGCGGGTCCCGAAGAAGATGGCGAGGCAGCCCCCGGGAGCCAGGGATGCCCCCGCCCGCCCGCCCTCCGGAGGGGCCGGATCACTTGGCCGGTGCCGGCGATGGGATTTGTAGTGCCGGGCTCCCGGAGGGCGGCCCACGGCCAGGACGGTGTCCCTGCGATGGCGTGTCGGCAACTTTTTCAAGTGCCGCCGCCGCCGCCGCCGCGGTGTGTTTGTTTAAGCGGCTGTTGGTTTGTTTCGCATGCCTCGAAGCGGCCTCGCTTCCCTCCTCCTCCTCCTCCTCCTCCTCCGGCGCTCACCTGGCCGGCCTTCTTCTGACCGCCCCCAGACCCCGTTTGCACCGAGAGGCCCCCCCGCCGCCAGCGGAGGCGATGCGGAGCGCCGACCCCAGCCCCGGCGCCTGTGGAAGGACGGACGGCAGCCCCCCTTGACGCGCGCCGCTGAGCAGCCGTGCGAAATGCCAAACTTCGCGGCCGCCTCGTCTACCGTTTCTCACGACCCCGGTAAGCAGCGGAGCCCCGGGGGAGGGGAGGGGGCGGGCGGGGCCAGGGGGTGCTCTGGGCCGCCGTTGCCTTCGCCCCCCAACGGGATGGGGAGCCAAGAATGGGCGACTGCAGTTTGGAGGGGGGCGCCCCCCCCCCATCGCCCGGCCAGGCAGCCTGGTGCGCCGTTCAGAGCACCGGGCGAAACGGGGATGAATGAGGCGAGTTTAAAAGGCCGTCGGAAAGCTGAATTGTGTCCCCCGAAGCTGCTTCTCCTTTTCACAAAAAAACTCGCCTGATCTGACTGCAGTGAGGGAGGGGGGGATGGAAAATCTGCCCTGCAACAGATCGGACCTCTGAGGCTGCATCCAAATGCCGGCTGCAAAGGGGGGAGGGGAGCGGGCAGGGGCTGCAGCGACCCCCTCCCCCAGCGCTTCCCCCTCCGCCTGGGAAGGCAGCTCTTGTAGCAGCCCTGCTTTGCTGAAGCTGAGAGGGTCTTGGGGGGGGGGGTGGAGATGGCACACTGAGCGCCCCCCACCCCCTTGGGCTGGAGGGGGCAACGGCCGGACCCCTTGGGGAGGGCCTGTCTCAGCAGCAGCAGCAGCAGCCCCTCCAGAAGGCATGGCGAGATGGGGGGGGGGGGTCCTTCCAGGAAGAGGCCTGAGGTCAGGCCCCCAATCCTGCAGGAAGGGCCCCTCCCTGCCCTGCCCCCTAAGCAGCCTGGGCTGGGAGGGGCAGGTGGGTCGGGCTGCAGGCGAGGGCCCGGTGGAATCGGCCTGCCTGAACGGGTGCCACACATGCGGCTGGTTCCACTTGGTCAGCCGGCCATCCCACTGGCCAGGAGCACAGAGGATGCCCCTCCGAGGGAGGAGCTGCCGCCGGTTCCCCTTCAGTGGCTGTGGCAGGCCGAAAGGGGCACCTTGCCCTCCAGGCTCAGCCGCTTCCCCTAGGCGGGCAGCAGCCCCTCCCCCCAGTCCTCCCCCCCTCCAGCCTGGGCTGCTTCCTTCCTCTTGCCCGTAAAGGAGGCGCCTTGGCCAGTTGCTCCTGCCCAGATGCGACACGAGGCGGCTCCGGCTGCTGGCTCTGCTCTGAAGCCAGCGCGGGTCGGGAGGGGGGAGGCAGGGGGACGTTATGCGGCGCCCCCGCCCCTTCAGAGGGCCTGGTGGTCTGGAGTCCTGCCGGCCCCTCGGGCTGAGCAGGGGGGCTCCCGCCTTGACTCTGGCCCCCTTTGCAGGGCATGGTGCTGGTCAAGATGGCATGCGTGTGCTGGAATCTGCTGGTGCTCCACGCGTTTCTGGCGGATCTGGCCCTGGTCCACGGGGCAGAGAGGAGCTCCCCCGTCCTGAACGTCGCGGTCATTTTGGGGAGGATCCCGAGCGTCACGGAAAGAGACGTCCGTGGTCTCAGCAGCCGGGACGTGGCAGGGGGGCTCCCCACTGACGTTAACGTGGTGCCCCTCCTGATCAACCAGACCGACCCCAAGAGCATCATCACCCACGTCTGCGACTTGATCTCGGGCACCAAGATCCACGGGGTGGTTTTCGGAGACGACAGCGGCCAGGAGGCCGTGGCCCAGATCCTGGATTTTATCTCCTCCCAGGCTCTGATCCCCATCCTGGGCATCCACGGAGGCTCCTCCATGATCATGGCAGAG